TGACCAAGAGACTATTCACCTCTGTGTCTCAAGCTAAAGTGAGAATCTACCAGAGGCTTCTCGGATCATCCCCACAATCCTACATACCATCCCCTCTTAGGTAGCTCAATGGACCCTGTGACCCTACATGGCACTTACATCCCATTGGAATTTATCTGTTCCGGTTTTTCTCCTTAGTATATAGGAATACATTAGACTGCAAGTAACAAGAATATATAAAAGTTGATTGTATATAATTGTATATACACATATGTGTATGTATATAGGGAGTTATGCACTTACAATGAATAATTACGTGTATCTTTACACAGAGATGCATATATGTGTACACACACAGATAAATCATGACCTTGCTTTACTTCTGTAACAGAGCTTCACTGTGTAACTGAGGCTAGCATGAAATACACTGTGAAGCCCAGACTGGCTTCATACTCATCATCCTCTCGCCACAGTCTCAAGTCTGGGGTTACGGGTGTGCACCGACGTGCCCAGGTAACAGAGATGAGTGGTGGTCACTGACAGTAATTCATTCAGGCCCTCAATGGTTTGTTTGTTTCTAAATGTTCTTGGCTGTTGGACTTTTCTTCATGAACATTATCACATTTGTTTGTAAGAAGGTTGCCACAACTCCATACCCCACCATATTGGCATCCAAAGTATTAGTAGTCGGGGAGAGCCAGCACATAGCAGCCCTCCTCTTATGCCTGGATTCTTTCCAGTCAGAAGGAAGGAGTGGTCTCAAGTGTTTTCAGTCAGACCATGATCCTGATCTGGCACTGAGAAGTGACAGTGTCCAGAAGTAAAGGAGGAGGAGGCGGCACTGCACAGCAGGAAGGGCAGGAGGAGCAACATGGCACAGGAGGTGCTTGGAGGAGGGTAGTAGGGGAAGAAGAGGCCAGCCGGAGGGTAAACAGGCTGGCCGAATGGAATGGGGACAGGTGACTGTCTACTTGTCAATGTGCGTATCAGGGGGAAGTGGTGAAAAGTGCCGTGTCAGCAGAGTGACAATTCAAATACAATTCACAAGGGATCAGAGAGCAGACACCGGGATATGCTGAGTATCCAGAACAAGGTTGTCAGTGAAATATTAAGCAGTGTTTTTAGATTTTAAAGTTCCCTTTTGCAATTACTAAACAGAATATCAACATGGACATTTCCATTCCAAATGGATGGATCCGGCCTGCCTACAACCTACTAGGAATCAGCTCAGTCAGTAGTATAATTTCCCTCTCTATGTTTCTATAAAAATTAACTGATCATATGCTGCAGATGTGCAGCTTGGTCTTCACAGGGGTCCCCCAACAACTGGAGCAGGGGATGTCCTTGACTGTGCTTGCCTGCCTGTGGGTCATCTTTCCCTAACTGGGCTGCCTTGTCTGACCTCAGTGGGAGAGGTTGTGCCTAGTCCTGCAGTGACTTGATATGCCTGGGTGGGTTGGTACCCAGGAGGGTCCCCCTTGTTGGAGGAGAAGGGGAAGGGGGCTTATGAGGAGGGACTGGCAGGAGGGGGCTACAATTGGGATATAAAATGAATAAATAAATATGTTAATGTAAAAAAAGAAAAATATTGTCCAAAGAGGGAAAATTAGCTGATTAATTTTATCAATATTGGTTAGAAAGTGGGTCATTCCTATTGGTTCTTTCTGTCTCTATTTGATAACTACACAGTTCAGCCAGTGCTCTGAATGCCTTCACACTCTGCAAATATTGTGCCTGCACTTTTTTCCTTGGTTTGTTGTTGTTGTTGTTTAAACTAGCTTATTTAGGAAATAAGCCTCTTATGTATGATATGAGTTGCAAGCATATCCCAGGTAGACATTTGTCCTGGCATTCCAATTCATTTCAGATCCTGGGGTTTTCTAAGGGTCTCTTGCTGCCTGGTGTTTATGGAGCAAAATCCAGGATGGCAGAATGGGCTTGCCCTCCCTCCAAATTGATCTCTGTTTTCAGACCTGGTTATTCTGGCTCACTTCTCCAGATAAAGATAAGTAAGATCAGCTTTTCTAACAGGGTTCCTAGCTCAATGGTAAAGGGATTGCCGAGCATGTACAATCCTGGGTTCCATCCGCAGTGCTGCTAACAGACAATTAATTAACCTTATTCTGCACGAGTATAATGCTGCTAGTCACAGGCTTCTACTGATGGTTCAGGAATCATAGTAAATGTATAAGCTAACTTAGGAAGCAATTATAACATTTAATCTTCCAAATAAAGAACATAATGAATGTAAACTCCCCAGTGTGTCCTTTAGAAATACTATGTAGCCTGGTGAGGTAGATTGATGGTATGTTTCCTACATTTAAGGATAGTCCTCTGTGTTTTCACTTTGGATTATAATTTATAAACTATAAATGTATTTTATTAATACAATTGTAATATTCTATTCCTTTATGCTTTCTAACAGTTTTGTCATTACATATGAAGGCTATTTGTTCAAGCTTATTCATTTATATCCATTTTATAGTCATGAAACACTATCTGTGGGCTGTATCCTGCTTTCTCCATCCCTGTGAGGATGGAGGAGGGTATCCCACCCAGCCTCAAGGTGGAGGTCTGTCTGTAGTGGTGAGCAGACGTGAGATAACATTTCTGAGACAGAGTTTTTCAGTTGTGAGGGGGTCAAGGGGAACATTCCAGAGTATCACGAAGTTTGCTGTATGGCTGCTCATCTAGCTGGTGGAAAACAGGAGCCCAGGCTGACTGACTCTCAGGCTGCTTTACTGACATATTAGAATCTGCTCTACAGAACTAGAGTGTAGAACACCTGCTTAATCTGTATGAGGCTGTAGGTTCTGTACCCAGATTACAGATCTGCCCCACTTACGGTACGCTCAAGAATCATTTATGCCCGTGTGTCTATGTCAGAGCCTTGTGATAATTCCCACCTTTTAATTTTTAAATTCCACATGAGGCTGTTTATGTCTTGAGTTTTCATCTCTGCCTAGAATATGCTTGAACTGAGTGTGCAAACACAGACGAGTGTTGTAGGAAGGCTGTTTGTAAATCAGGATTCCCAGCACACAGAAGCACCAGGTTAGTCAGGAAGTAGAGGGATGAAAGGCTTGGGAACAAGGGCCTTTCTTGTGGTTTCTGTGAGAAAGAGGGGACAGGGCAGACAAACATGTTTGGGATTGTCTAGTCTGTGTCAGCAGGCCCCAAGGGTAGAAGCTTCATGAGCTGTAGGTGTCCTAGTTTGCCTGAGTAAGATGAAGGGCAGAGGAATTGGCAGAGTGTAACAGCCCATTAGAGGTGGGATATGTCATGGAGGTCGCAGAGGAGAGGGACAACCTCTCCTTTTCCAGGAGGCAGAACTTCAGGATGCCACACATCACAAATACAGAAAATGAAACGGTGAACCACTTCCATTGTAAATTGAGCCCTTAAGCCCAGTCAGGGTGCTTCCTTCATCTTATTTAATGACTTAGGCCTGAATTCTGTGTTGTTACAAGGGCAATATCATATTAGTATTGATATTGGTAGTGTCTTGTTGTCTGGTGGCAATCATGTAGTGGCCTTTAAAAGTAGCTTTGCTTTAGGTGTGAAAATTTTTGGCAGTACCACATATTAAACCTAAGGATTTGGGCATGTTCCCCCAATATTATGCCAGAGCTACATCCACAGCTTACACACACACACACACACACACACACACTTTTTATTTTGAGATAGTCTCAGTGACTCAGACTAACCTTCAACTCCCTTTTTACCCCAGGCAGGCCTTGAAAGTGTAATCCTTCTGCCTCAGCATGCCAGGTAGCTGGTAGCTGGGATGCCAGGCTTATACCACCATGTGTATCTCTTACATACGACAAATGTTCCTTCCGTTAGCTTAAATGCTGCGTTAGGCCTACTCCCATGATGCTGTGGGAGATAGGATTGGTTGTATCATGCATTCTACTTTAAAATATGAATACTTTAAATGTCACTCTACATGTTTTCTTAGCTTTTTATCTCAAAATTTCGGGTATTTAGAAAACTTGCATCCACTTGCTAATAGTTACTTTTGTATCTACTTTTTGTTCTCTCTTGTCTCTCTTTTCTTTAGACAGCTAAGTTCATTTCCTGTGGTATGTCTCAGTAATGCTCTCTCCCTCCTCCTCTCCTCCTCTCCTCCCTCCACTTCTCCCAGCTCCCCTCCTTTCTAATTTTAGAACCTATAAGTTCTACCAGCGTGGATGGGCTCTTCCAGGCTGCATCATGTCATGAAAGAAATATGTGTCTGTGTTTATATATATGTGTGCCATGAGTGTGTGTATATTTGTACATGTGTGTATATCTGTATGTATCTATACATGTGTATAAGTGTGTATATATCTGTACATGTGAGTCTATACATGTGTGTGTATGTGTATCTGTGCATGTGTGTGTATCTGTGTATCAATGCATGTGTGTTTGTGAGTGTGTCTATACACGTGTGTTTGTGAATGTGTGTATCTTTGCATGTATGTTCATAAGTGTGCATATATCCAAGTATTCTCATCTCATAAAACCACCAGAATTCAGTTGTGGGGACTCCACTCTAATGACCTAATGTACTTGCCCTAGAATGTTCCACCTCTGGACACCACTGTCAGATTAAATTTCCACCCTCTTAGTACCTTGACTTAGACCTTGGAAGGGTGACCATTTTCATTCCAGAGCAGCTGTCCCCAAAGTCAGCATGTGGCGTTGTGTGCAGCAGCTCAGAAGTTCAGCTGTGCTGATCCTCAAACCTGACCTGTAAGACTTCCCACTTCCTTTTTAAATGTTCAAAACCAGTGCTGAGTGGCCTGAATTTCCTCCTCTGGTACACCTCTAATCAGTGGTACACTTTGGTGGCCATTAGAGACATAATGTTTACAGGTGTGTGTGTGTGTGTGTGTGTGTGTGTGTGTGTGTGTGTGTATGTGCATAATCTACTTTCATACACTGCTCATCAACGTGCTGACTGGCACCTTTTCTCCAGGAAAGCCAGGATTCCTCCATTCCTGTTATAATCTCCTGTTGTTCCTCATCCACAGGTAAAAACTGGGACCTGACAGCTGCCCTAAGCGACTATGAGCAACTCCGACAGGTGCACACAGCCAACCTGCCACATGTGTTCAACGAAGGGAGGTGTGCCAAGCAGCCTGAGCGAGAATTGCCTCAGCCTGGGCACAAAGTGGAGCGGCCTTGCCTGCAGAGGCAGGACGATATTGCCCAAGGTACCAGCCGAGGGGCTTGCCAATGTGGAGAACAGTGTGATCAAAGTCACCAAGCTGAGGCAAACTGAACCCTCAATGCCTTGCTCCTCACAGTAGGCTAAAATGCAACACACATCTGTGGCTTCCATCTCTGGAAAGCAGGAGAGGGTGACTGGAGCCTTTAGAGGCCAGTAGCCTGTTGGAGATTCCTGCTTTTCCTGACAGGCGTCTCTAGTCCTCCGGTTACTTCTCCAGCTTGGTCTCCAAGTCGTTCAGTAGCAGATTCATTGTTCCATGAGGTTTTTTTCTTCTCTATTGTTCTTTCTCATCATCAGACTAAGATACACTTGTAATAGTGATTATAAGAGGAAACTCAAAAGGTTTTTGTCTCGCCTCCCAGCACTTGTTGTCTTAATAATCACTTTCTTCTTCTGCTAAGCTTGTTCAAGATACGAACAAGAGTCAAGGAGACATGTAGTTTACAAATAGCTTACTTTTCCTGGCAGTAAGAACTAGTACATTCACTTGATTGCTATATTTTGTTACATCATTTATTTAGACCTTCTGCGTAAATGACCATCCTAGTTCTTCTTGGAATTTTTTTGTTGCAATTTGTTTTTCTTTGACCCCCCCCAACACACATACACACATAATTGTGACCTGGAATGTCTGTCCAGAGGCTCAGTGGGTAAGAACACTTGCTGCTCTTCCAGAAAGACCTGAGTTCAATTCCCAGAACCTACCTGGCAGCTGACAACTCTGTAACTCCAGAGGATCTGAAACACTATTCTGACCTCATAGAACACCAGGTACACATACATACACGCAGGCAAAGCACTCATACATGATTTTAAAAAAAAAGTCTTTAAAGAAATGCTTATAAATCCAGGCTGGTACCGTGCAATGGGCTTGCTGTTTTTCCATAAATGTCTTCCTGGTCATGTTTTTGCTCACTACATGCAAACCCAGTTCTTTGCTCTGCGTGTTGCCATAGCTTTGCCTGATTGCATGTTTTGAAGGGTGGAACCTGGGATCTTGTTTTAACTTTAATATTGTGGTTTGCTTGCTAGGTGGCCTTCTCTGCTGCATGCCTGTTTCCTCCTGTGGTTCATTTTTCTATCCATCAGTATCCTTATCAACTTGTGGCTTCCTCTGTAAGAGGATAGCACAGGATTTCTATCCGTGCCCTTGTATAACTCTCGCTGTATCATGTGGCCTACGGCTTTATGTTCAAAAGAGTTTGCCATACAGAGGGGTTAACATGATAATGCCCCAACCCATGTGCTCATCTCTGAATCTGGAAATAAAATACATGGTTAATAAACCTTTTTCCTATTGTTTGTCAATTTAGTCCTCAGGAGTTTCCATCAATTTGAGATCCCTTATAAACAATAGCAAAGGCTCTATGCTGCTGTCTTCTGGATAGAGTGCTACTTCCCTGGATATTGGTCAGATCACCTTTCTCCTCTGGACTAAATGACAACTGGACCATATTTTAAAGTCCCAGCCATTGCAAGATCTGTTTGTGGAGCCTGTGTGTGTAGCATGCAACTGTCTAGCTGTTCCCCGGGAGTCTGTCTGTTTCCTGTACATTACTCTGTCTGTCTGTTTCCTATATGTTACTCTCTAATGCAAACCCCCTGCCTTTCCAAGCGTGCCCACTACTATTATGAGCTATGCCTCCATGTAAGCCTTATTGCAGTACCACTTGTAATTGAATGGGCTCCTAGTTTTTCAAGTTGCCATGCTTCTTGCATCCAATACTGTATTCAGATTATGCTAAGGCTAGACACTGGAGAAAGCAGGTCATTCTGTGCTTACATGTCTCCCAAGCATCCAGATAAACGCACTGCTATCGTGATAGAGGAATCATATCATCTAAGATCACGTTCTATCTTGTTTACATTTAGATATAATGACTTCTTGTGATGGGCTGTTTTTAATTAAAATATAATTATATCATTTCCCTCCTCCATCTAACCCATCTTATTTCCCTTAAATTCATGGCCTCTTTTTCTTTATTATTGTTTCATACATGAACACACACACAAACACAACTGGCTGAATGTTTAGTATTGTTCATATGTACATGATATCAGGGCTGACCACTTAGTTTTGGATAACCTAAATAAAGGGGCTCATTCCTCCAGAAGAATATTTCTCCTGTTCAGTATGTGTGTGTGTGTGTGTGTTACTTGGGCCTCATATATACTAGAATTACAGCCCTAATTCCAAGTAAGATTCTTGAAGGTAATTTACAATGAGATTTTATTTTATCATCCAAAACAATCTTTTTCTCAAGTAGGGATTTCAATCCACTTAGTTTACTTTAATTACCTCACATCTGTAACTCTATTGTGTGTGGTGTATACCACTATAACTATTTAAAAGTAGAAATACTTTATGTTGCATTCTTTGTCAAGCTTCTTATAGGTTTTTTTCTCTTCTCTGGCTGATTAGGGTTCTTTTTTTTTCTTCCATTTAAAGATTGTATGTTCAACTTTTAGTCATCCATCATTTCCCACTGCCCTTTTAATGTCTGTGTCTGTGTTTATGTTTTCCTTCTAAAACGTTATAAGCACTTTTATCTCACCTGAGAGCTGTGTGTGTCACATGCTCTTAACCCTTCCTGCCGCCATGCACCCACATTTATGCTCTTTTCTGCCGCCTGTATTTATTTAGGAAAAAGTTGGCTTCTTTACTTGTTAATATTAAGTCGTGTGCTCTAAACATTTTGGCGGTGACAGACCATAGCTGCAACCCCATAAGATCATAATGAAGCCAAAGGAGTCTGACCACCTTGCTATGCCATAAGACATGGCACAGGGTTTGGCTGATGCTGGTGGGAACAGACCCGCACTACTGGCTACATGACAGTACAGCATGTCATATAGTATAGTAAAGCACCCGTAATAAATAATTGATGTCAACGCAAATATCAGCAAGTATGCGTTTATATATTTCCTATACTATGCTTTTTATTGTTATCTTCCTGACCAAATTCTTTCCTGTAAGAGTCTGCTGGGCTATACTGGCTGCCGCCCCAACACTTACCTTGCCTCTTGGTGGCATAAAGAGGCCACATTGAGAGCCTGGGCTGGGCCACCTAGGTCTGTGTGAGGCCACTTCGTGGAGTCAGAGAGACATATTTCTCAGAAGGCATCTGTCCATTAGGAGTTGTGTAGCTACATTCGTTTCCCTCTTCCAATCTTTCCCTTCAAATCTTACTTTTACAGAAAACCTCCTAAGCTTTTAGTACCTGAAAAGGTTTACACGACTACTACATTTTGGTAGTGGAACAGAACTTCCCATTCACATTGGTTTCCTTGACTCCTTTATAATCTTCCTCAGTTGACTTCTTAAAGCTCTTTCTATCTTCTAAGAGACATGCTCACCCTGGTACTCTAACCTACTTCTTTTTCCTGTGCGTTCCTTGTGAGTCAACTCTTGCCCTTTTCATTCCAAATTATTTCTTGGGATTATTGTTAGTATTTCACACTCCAATGTTCTCTGCATTTCTCGGAATACATTTGCTAGGCTCATTTCCAAACTCAGTCCATTCAGCCTGATTCCTGTAAGTACTTTGTTTCCTTTTTTATATGTGCCTGCCTTCCTCAGGTGCTTCCTCAGTTTCCCTGTGAGCACCTGGTGCTAGGATTATCAGCGCCTCAGACAGGAATGCATCAGACAAAAGACAGGCAGTGTGGGCTCTAGCTGGTACCCAGCAGAGTGTGAAAGAGCTGCAGGCTTACCAGCCTTGAGTCTTTTGTCTGTTTGACACATAATAGTTACACATGTTCATAGGATGCGGTGGAGTTTCAGGATAGATGAACCATGTGTAATAACTGCTGAGAGGCCAGCAACATCTGTCATCCCACACATTTATCACTGTTTCTCCTGAAGACATTCAAAATGTTTTCTTCTGGCGACTTTGAAAAGTACGGCAAATTGTGAGCTGTCCTCACTATGGTCTATAAAATGTCAAGATTTACTCCCCCTAGCCAAGTTCCCAGACACCAACCCCAGTTCCTCTCTCCCTCCCACTCTTTGTTCCCTACTTTTCCACTCTGGCTCCACATAATCTTTCTTCTGCTTCTGCCTATGAGCCACATCTATGGAATTTGCCTGGCTATCTCACTTAGGTTCCTTGGGTTTATCCACACTCTCATAAACGACATGATTTCATTCTTTTTATGAGTATATATGTGTTTACTGTTCTTTATCCATTCTGCTGACAGATACTTGTGTTCCTTCTGTTTCTGAACTGTTGTGAATTATGCTGTAGAGCATGTGGGAAAGCACATATGTCACAAGGATTTTCTTTTCTTTGGATACACATTCAATATTAGGATTACCGAGCTTTAAGTGTTTAAACTTAGGCTTAACACTCTCCTTCCCTACAGCTGGATTTCTCCTCAGGGAACCTTCCAGAACTACTGTTACAGAAATTGCTTGTTTCTAAGAGCTATCTCAATTGTGGCCGATGCCCAGCTATTGGAGAAAGAAAAGGAGGCAGTGTTTGTTTGTATTGCAGTATCTTGGTTCATGCTGTCAAAGGTTTGAATTAAATGTGAGAAGCAAGGGGAACATCTCCCAGTGACAGACAGCCCAGACCTCCCATTCCGTCTCTCTTATTCCTGGTGACCTCTGTGCTTTCATTTTTCTTTTATGATTTTCCTCAAAATATAAGATAACCTAATCATATTGTTTCAGAATGAAATATGAGTGAATTGAAACCATTCATTCTGAAGTATGCAATCTCTATACCTTTCTGTTCATCTGAATGGGGAAAATGTATGAGGTTGTCAAGGCAAGCCTCTGCTTGACAGACTGTTTTGATACAATTGCATGAATGCCATTCCTGGCCACTGATATTACAAATGAGGCTATGTAGAAAGTCCTGCTCTGAGGAAGGCAGTGGCTGCTATTTTTTCCCTGCACCAAGGATGCTAGCCTAAAAGGAGGTAAGCCAACTTAGGACTCACGGGCATAACACTCAGGAATTTGACACATCGTTCTGACCACACTCATACATTAAGGATTCTTTTGCCCCCGGGACGAATAAGAGGACTTCTGCTGTAAGAAATCCCATGCCACAAAACTGACTATGTAGTGACTTCTACTTCATATACTCCAGAATTGTTGTTTAGGGCCAGTGCACACCCATAATCCCTGCTCCTGGAGGCTGAAACTGGAGAATAGTAAATTCAAGGCCAGCCTTGGCTATATTAAAAAAAAATACAGTTCTTGTTTATGTTAGCATTACTCATTAAACACTAATCTCCTCTTTAAAGTATGTCTTACTGCACCAAGAGTACAGATGTATCTGCTTTAGATTACCCAGGTTCCAACTTACTTCAGACATTCCCCTCTGTGCTTCTGTCTTTGGGTAGAAAGTCCACAAAGAATGAAATAGAGTAGACCATGGTACCAGAGAGTTCGGGGACAACAGGACATGCAGGTGGACAGGAAGCATGTACAAGCTCCATCTGTGTGTCCCCAGGATGCCCACATGGGAAATGCTCAGCAGAGAAGCATAAATACAGTAACCAGGTGAAGCCTGGCCACAGCACAGCAACCTGAGCAGGATGCTCTGTGCTTTAAGTCTATAAATGCGTGAAAACAAAGGTGGTCTCCCAGGTCCCACTAGGGCTGGGAGAAGGCAGCTCTGGGAGTGGAGTTAAATGGAGCTCAAGACCACAACAAGCCCTGCTGCTCTTGTCAGTGGGTGCGCAGCACTGCTCTTAGTGGTTCCGAGACTCAGCTGAGGAAGGGCCTCACACCAGGTTTACTCCAGCAGCAGGCAGCCTGTAAGCTAGAAGATAAAAAGGCTGATGTGTGAAAGATGTGACTGTGTGGGGGTGGGGGTATGTGTGAAAGGTGTGAGTGTGTGTAGTATTTGTGTTTCTGTATGTGAACAGTATAGTGTGCACATAGCTGTACCTGTGTGTAGTGTGTCCTGGGTAGTCAGTGTTATATACTTGCTGCCTAAATATTATATAGCATATATAGTGTATGCATATCCATGTTTGTATGTCTGTATAGCATATACATAGTATATAGTACATTGCATGAGTATATGTTTTAGAATATATGTATTCATATTTGTAATATCTAACACATTTGTATATATATACATATATATACACATATATATGTGTGAGTGTATGCATATATGCATGTATGCATATATGTATTCATCTATATATAAACTATATGGTTTGTGCCTGTGTATATGTGTTTATAAATAAATGTGTTATCTAAACATGTTGGAGCTCTAAAGATGTCTTAGTGGTTAAAAGCACTTGCTGCTTTTGCAGAGGATCCAAGTTTGATTCCCAGCTCCCACATGGTAGTTCACAACCATCTATACTCCAGTTTCAAGAGATCCAACGTGCTCTTCTGGCCTCCTCAGGCACCAAACACACACATAGTACACATACATACATCCAGAGAAAACACACATAAAATGAATAAATCTAATTTTAAAAATAAGTAATAAAAGTTCCATGTGTATTTATAGACATATCTATTGGCAGTTCTGTATACTGTGTGCACAAATGTATGCAGTGTGCATATTTACACGTAGGTGTGTTTTTGTATTGTACAATATGTACATACATTTGCACTTATCTATATAGGTATGTTTGCATATACGTGTGTTTATAGTGTGATCATAAGTGAATTACATGTGTATATGTGGAGGGATCTGTGTGTTGTATATTCATAGTGTATATGTATGTATCTACATTTGTGTATACTTGTATGTGTATGCATGTACGTGGGGAGTGCTGTGTATACATGTGTGCTCCAGCATGGCTGCATACACTCTCAGAGCCACGTTTACAGTGACATGGTCCCTGAGGCTATCCTTCCTTCTCATCAGCAGAGAAGCGCCTGTCCCGGGGGATCTCCCATGCCAGCTCAGCCATTGTCTCCCTGGCCCGATCCCACGTGGCAAATGAATGCAACAATGAGCAGTTCCCACTGGAGATGCCCATCTATACATTCCAGCTGCCGGACCTGAGCGTGTACAGTGAGGACTTCAGGAGCTTCATCGAACGGGACCTGATTGAGCAGGCTACTATGGTAGCTCTGGAGCAAGCAGGTGAGTGTCTGCTACCTACAGGCTCCTGTTCCTTAGCACCCCCAGTCCCACTCACACCCACCCCTATGTAGCAGCCTGGCCCTCTTTCCCCACTGAGCAGGAAAAAGATTGGGGTTCTTGGGATTTGCCATCAGAATTCTCCATTTGTACCAACCCTACTCTAAAGATCGCTGCACTTCGTCGTGGAGCACTGGCTGAGTGTGGGGTCAGTGTGTGTGTGTGCTGGTGCCGCCCAGGTCATTCCCCTTCTTCTGAATCCCATCTTTCCCTTGTAAATCAGCACCATCGCTTGGCACCATCGCTTGGCCCTGTTTCTCTCTTCTGCATCCCTCATCCCCCCCGGGAGCTGAAGAAGGATAAGACATATGGTTGAATTAGAAAAACAGGAGACCCCATGACTTCTTATGCACATGGCAAGTCCTGTGCCCAGAACTTCAACTTCCCTTCTGCAAAGCTGACAACGTTGATGGCCAGGGGGAGTCTGTGAAGACAGGCATGTGTCACTCTTCCTGACTCTCCCAGTCTCTCTAGCCGCCCAGTGGAGGAAACACAGAAGTGGCTTGAGTCTCCTTGTGTCTAAGACACCAGGGAGGAAACCAGATGTGTCCTCTTTGAGTTTTGTATGAATCTAATTGACTCAAAGCAAATGTCTGGATAGATATAAGTTCTTCCTGAGACAAGGCAATACCAGCACCACCACTTGCATTATAAATAATGGCAAAATTGAAAATCAAAGGGCTTCTAAGATATAGATGCAAAAGAGTATGTTCTTCCCAAGCACCTCTCGGGGGGGGGGGAGGGCTCCACTACCAACATGCACTAAGGGTGTGTCTCCAACAGCAGTTCCCAGTGTTCCTCATAGAACAGGAGTACAAGGCCTTCTGATTCTGACTTGGCATTCAGCCAGCCCTTGCCATGTCAAACCTCCATTTCTAGAGGCCTGGTTCTGGGGATGACTTCCTGGTAACCTGTCCCAGCAGAGAAGGGAGGGAAGCCTCATACATTTGTACTTCAGGAAAAAGTGAAGAGTGGGATCCAGAGGTTGGACATTGGTAGTCAAGATGCTGGCATAAAGGAAGACTAACAAGATGGCAAGATTCAGAAAAGGGTATGTGTACCAAGCAATGTGCAGGGTTTAAGGATACCAAAGGATAGTGTCATGCCAACGAAGAGCCTGTCAAAGCCATTGCTACTCTTGTGCCTTGCACAGAGGGTAAGGATTGTGTGGAGAGAGACATGACTTTGGGGAGAGAAGATGTTGGAGAAATAGACTCTAGCCACAGTCTTCCTCCACCATACAGACTAGCCTGGGCACCACACTGGCAGAAAGACAGTGGTCAGGTGATTGTGGGCACATCTGTTCAGGGCACATTCTGGGTGCAGAGCTGTGGGCACAAGAGTGGCAATGTGGGTCTTCAAGGCAAAGGGAAAGCACATTGGACATTTTGACTGGCTCACAGCTGCAATTCAGGAAGTGTTCACTGGCACAAGGGTATGAATATCAGGCTCTGAATAGGTTCCATCACACCTCTGCCATCCTCCACATTACAACAGGGCATGGTTGAAGAGTAGGCAAAACAAGGCTAGTGCAGTATGATCTCACCCAGCCTGCTGACCATCGGACTTCTCTGGACTTCTGTCCTCTGCCCTTAATCAAGGGCTACCACTAGACTCTCTCTGAGTCCTGATTCTCCCCTAGCCCCATCACCTTTGAGTGAGGAATCCATTGCAGCTCCTGCACCTGGTTCTTACTGTCCTGTTGATGAGGAAGGTGAAGCTGTACCTTAAAACACAGGTGCCACAAGTTGAAGGACCAATCCTCCCCAGTCTTACAATCCTTGGATTACAAACAAATTTCAACGTATGACAGCCCTGACCTGGTCTTCATCAGCTATAAGTAAACCTTCTGAGAAAGAAAGGGAAATGCTTACCATGCTTTAGTAACAGTCCAAACATTAAGAACTCATGGATGCATCCACTGTTCCCCTGGGTGACCTTACTGCATCCACACATAAGACACAGAGGGAAAGAATTTGGGAAGGCATACCCCACATCTGGGAGATGATTTCCACATGAACACGATGTCTAGGGCCAAAGGACAGAGGCATACCTATATAATCATGGCTTCTACATACACAGAAGATTAGAGCTATCATAAATGTTCAAAATGCCTTAAAATTGGCACCATACCTACTTCCAGTGGAGGATAACAGGACTGGAGGGAACCTACTGAGAAAGGCTAAGATTTGACAGAGGTACTCAAGGCTTTGAAATCAGCCTGCTCTGGCTCTGATTTTCCCAGGAGCTGGTAGAGCTTCATGAAGCTGCCTGCTTGCACCTTTCATCCGAACATCAGATTAGTAGTAACTATCAAATGAAGACAGAGTCAGCCCAGTTACACCTGTATATGCTGCCAAAAAAATTCCTGTGCAGGTTAAAGGCTATTTCCACAAAGCAAGCAGACGAAACTCTACCCTGGAAGTAAGATAAAGAGCCAGGCCATCCATGTTAAATGGATAGCGGGTGAGGGCTGCTGTAGAGATGCTAGGGGCAAGGTAAGTGAGCATAAGGTAGGAGGAGGGGTCTGTGCAAACCAGCGGGAGGAGGGAGCTTGGGAAGCAGTCAGAGCATACTGTCACGGGCTGGACATAGTTAAAGAAGAATCAGGAGCACAGGTCCAGCAGAGGCTGAAGGAGTGGAGAAGAAAGTCAAATGGGTGAGTTGCAGAGCCCAGGGAAGCATTCGTGTTCTGGGGTCTTAACTGTAAATAGAATATACGGCCTCAAGAAGGTTTGGAGCAGGAGAGTAGCAGATCTTGATTAACATCTAATGGAGTCTGAGTGTCAGCCAGAGATGGAGTGTGAAGTTGTAAAGAGGAGAATCAAGAGGAACGGAAGAGACGCAGGTGCTCTTGTAGATGATGGTAGCAACGGGAGGATGAGAAGTGGCCAGACACTAGAACAGAACGGAAAACAAAACAAACCAGGGTGTGTTTCGAATCTGCAGGTCTTAATGAGGGATTGGCTGGAGCTATGATAGAAGATTTAAGTATGCCTCAAGAAGATTGCCTCACTATGTGAATAGGTGACGTGCTGGGAGCAGGTGGTAGTTAAAGCCTGAGATTCCTGTAAAGTTGCTGGACAGCCAAACAGGTGACTTTGAGATTAGCGAGAGATCTAGGCTGAGAGAACCAATGTGGGAGTTTATAGTGCACAGTAAAATTTGTGGAGTGGGATAATCTCCTCAGGGGATCTTCGATGGAGCCTCTGTCACCACTTGGTGTAGGATAAGGGTTCTGTATGATTCTGATGCAAAGGCAAAAAAGATACTAATCTCCAACTGGGGTTCTCCAGCACTGAGGAGCCTATGAATGGAAGAAAAATCCAAAAAGACATGGAGAATGTACAGCCTAATAAACAGAGAAAGCCAGTGGCTGACAGCAGCAAAATTAAAAGGGAAGGGATCATGGCAAACAGGGAGGGCCCATGATGCCAATGAGCCTTGTGCACTAGGAATCGCCCAGTGGGTTGGGCTCCATTCTCTGTACTTCTATTACTTTTACATCCTGTATAAGTGAGCTTTGTTTTGCTGTAATGAGATACCTGGTTTAATCAGTGTGCTAGAGTTAAAAGTTTGTTTGGACTTACCTTGTGGAAGATCTCAGTCCATGGTCACAAGGTCCTTGTCCTAGTTACGTTTCCCATTGTTGTGATTAAAAATCCTGCCAAAAGCAATGCAAGAGAAAAGAGTGGTTTGGTTTTAGCTCAGAGGTCTAAGGTTCTGCCTCTCATAGTAGGGACATCATGGTACATAAGCTCCAGGCAGCAAGCCAAACTGTGTCCGTACTTGGGGATCAGAGAGAGGAAAGAACGTATTCAGCTAGCTTTCTTTTTATGCAGTCTAGGACCCAAGGCCAGTTTTAGGATACATCTTCCTGTTTTATCCCCCTCAATTAACCTAATCAAATAGTCCCTAGAGACTAACCTAATCTGAGTAATTTCTCCCAAATATCCCTCAGCGGAATTGCAGAATTCTTCCTGTGGGTGATATCAGATCCCGTCAACACCCGTAATCATCACAATCCCACCTTTTATCAACTTGACACTCAGAGCTAACAACTTTAAGCCATTACCTTCTATACTTTGTCCCCATAATCTCATGACCATCTTAAGCAACAAGTAACAAAAATGCATTCAGTCCAATGTGTAAAGTCCTCAGTCTTTAAAATTGTCAAAACTCTTTTTAAAGTTGAAAAACCCCATCTCACCTGAGACTTGAGTCAGCCTCTTAGGTGTGTCCTCCTATAAAGTCACAAATAACTCACATATTTCCGGTATATAATACACAGGGTAAATAGCCCTATTTCAAGACGGGAGAATGAGGACATAGAAAGGAATGATCAGACCAAAGCAAGACCAAAATACAGCAAGAAAAACACTAAGTCTCATATCAGTGGGGCTCACGGTGGAATCATCTGGACTCAAAAGACTTGGATAGCATCACTTCCCCAGCTCTGCTCCCCATAGCACGCATATCCTTTCTCTTAGGCCGTCTTAACTACATCTTTCCTCGGAAGATGTCCCATGGTCCTGGGCTCTCCGACACCCTACACTCTCCACTATTCTTTAGACTTTTTCGCCTCCACAGTCATGTGATGGCCTTTCAGAGGGTCCTGGTGAGGACTCCGACTTCTCTACACACTGCCTGACCTAGCCTTCTCTCTGAAATTGTACCAAGGCTCGTAGCCCCTCAGTCTTGCATCTTTCGTGCTTTCAAAACTAGTGCTGTGTGGACAGTGCTGCCAAGTTCTGCTGCCAGCTCAGGCTGGAGCTTGGCCACCTTCTGTTCTGACACTGGAGAAGGTAGCTGCTTTTGAGGGCCAGGGATACCGTCAGAATGGCAGTCTCTGTTCTCTGCATCTGTTTGTGCTCTCCCCTTTCAATGAATGTATTTCACTAAATAAAGCCTCTGATGAATGAGGCCTTGCTCTCAGGACACCT